GCACAACAATGATCGTTCCAATCACAATTTACTGAACAGCAAGAATTTTTAAAACTTTTAACTAAAGTATGAAGCAATGCCTAGAAAAAAGTTTAAAAGTTTCGAATAATAAAAAAGTGAACGGAAGATATCAGTTTTAACTTCTGCTAAATTTGCACTCACGAAGTTTTTTTATTGAAAGAATTTAGTTTTTGAAAATTATTAGCTCATTTTGTAAAGTACGCGTAAAATCTAATGAAAGTAGTAATATAAAACATGAAATGTTTGGAGGCATTTTGTTCAGACTGTTTTATTTGTATGTCATTTGTTTTAATTTCAAAGACAGAGGTTGAAAAAGGAAGGCACTTGCAAAAATGATCTGAACTAGGTCATTCCCTGTCCTGAAAAGCAACTACGGAACCAATATCAATGGACACAGATTTCTACGCGTCAAATTCAGTCATTTTGAACGATCCAATTTTTGATCTGTTGCTGAAATTTGTATACAATCAAACATATTAGTATGCAAGTTTTCTCCAATGATTGCCTGTAACTTCCCCTTAATTCTAGCACTACAAAGTGCTGAATTTGTGCTTCATTTCATTTAGTTTTTAAAAGAATCACTTTTGTAAATATCAATCAAAATTTGTAATTAACAACACTTCGCATAAATGATGGTACCGCTTTCCCTCGACAATGACCAAAAGGATTTCTAACTTGTATTCATGACTTATTAAAACATCATCAATAAATGCAGATTCTTATTTTGGTGGATTAATTAGCAATATTTTTTTTCGTCTTAGGTATTATTACAGTCATTACGTTATGTACTGCATTAGTAGAACACTATGTCAATGTTCAGTGTTATAAGATAAACATTTCATACATTGATAATTGCAATAACCAAAATAAATTAACTAAAAAAAATGTAAAAAATTTAGCAAAGGAAAATTCTGACAGAACTTTTGATATTTTTTACGTGTAATACAAATTTGAATAGCAAAAAGTAAGGCTTAGGTTAAATTAACTGTGTTTGAGATTAAATATGCGGTACAAAGGAGCAGCGGCAGCAACTTTCTTTATCAGCACTTTGACAATTCTTGCACAGTTAACACTGTTACCAGCACTTTACAATCGTGTTAACGTGATGAAACGTGATGTTGAATTGAGAATAAAACTTTTTAAGGCCAGCTTTTTTTCAAAAACTTTAGAGATAGCTATCACAAGCTTAATTTTACAGACCTAAAAAATTGTAACAGTTTAATTCTTCATTTGAAAATATAATTTTCTATATTTATTATAATAAATTTTTAGTTACTAGCAGATAAAAGTGACGAAGGCTTAGCCAAAAAACGTGAAGAGTTATTGCGATATAAAAGATCAGAAAGTTTCTGTCCACCTCCAAAGCCAGGATTACAAGGACCACCAGGTATAGTATTGAAGAAGACGCGTCAGACTAATATATATATTATCTGAGTCATTTGCAAAATTCAGAATCAATTGCTTTAATTCAGATATATGATAAATATGTAAGGTATTTTGAGGAGACTCGGGTGAAGATGGCGAGCAAGGAGATGATGGACCACCTGGAGTTCGAGGAAAAAGTACGCAAGAAATACTTGACGAAATCGAACAACAATGCGTCATTTGCCCGCAAGGAGAACGCGGGCCTTCTGGTGCACCTGGAAACCAAGGAATACAAGGGCCTAAAGGAGAGAAGGGTATCCCAGGAATTCCTGGAAGAGACGGTCTAGATGGTATCTTTTAACTTGATGATTTAAGATCTTTGAAAGAGTTTTGTCCGTACTTTGTGATAAATTTATTTCTTTAGGTGATACTGGCTTTGAAGGTCCAGAAGGGTTCAAAGGAAGCGCCGGAATGAGGGGCTCTAAAGGAAGTGATGGAAAAGCGGCTTCAGGTGGAATCGGAGAACCTGGCCCCAAAGGTATAGCTGGACCTATTGGAAGAACTGGACCCCAGGGGCCTCGAGGTAAGTCATTAATTAATTTGTTATATTAAATTTCAATTAACTAACTATGACCTTAGGTAAACGAAATTATGTATATGGAGTTCCTGGACCAGATGGCAAACGAGGTGTCAAAGGGATGGATGGCCTTCCAGGAAGTTTTGGTCCAAGAGGTAAACGAGGATCGGTCGGAGAAACTGGTGCTAATGCACTATTTTGTCCTTGTCCTCTAGAGATGGATTTACTTAATAAGGAATATTCTGTAAGTATTCGTTTTTTGAGCAATGAAATCACACACTGAGCAGACTAAAATAAAATAATTTTTCACTTCTTGCTGAAAACGCTTTGCATGCACATATAAATGCTAAACATTTAAATTAAAACAAGTAAACGGAAAATATCACTCTTTCAATTAGTGAAAAAAGCGCGCAAAATTTATTCGCTACCTTCTAACTTTATCTTCCGATAATTCCTATTTTTCTTGGAGAAAACATCTTGCAGAAACCAAAAAAAGTAACAAAGAAACGATATTTAAAACGAACTACAGCAATGGCTTTGATCAGTGCTCAGATGATTAGTGATAGTAGTGGTAGTGATAAACTGACGAAGAGCAAGGAGATATTTGAACCAGAAAAGAATCAAAACCAGTCATCATATGATTACACTAATGTAACTGATACCGAAAATTTCAGGTCCCGAAAATTGCCGTCTGCAAGAAATGGTACTATTTTTTATTTGCATAACTTTCAGATACAAATTTGCTATCAGTACGATTTTCAGGTAATAATTTATTGACAATAGTTCACACACAGTTTGCGTTAAATTCCTGACTCGGTATTTCTCATTTAGATATTATTTATTAGCGGTCGAAGCCAATTTTAAAGCTTTTAGTCATGTATCACCTTAAAGAGTCTTTTAATTTCAAATCAATTTGGCTTAATGCCCTCTAGTATGACATCAAAATTCACTTTCAGTTCCAATCTTAAAGTTATTCCCAGAAGTAACTTCTCTTAATCACAATAATTAGAATGATAAATTCGCTTTACAAAAACTTGAAAGATATTTTCAAAGTCGGAAATTTAGAATCAAATAATGAAGCGATTAACAACGAAGACAACTCTGAGTTCGCTTGGCTGAATTCGTCCAATGAAAATGATCAAATCGCAGACAAAATACATTACAAATCACTGCCAGCTGACGTCGATCATTTGATGTCCAATCGACAGAAATTCAAAAATGGTCGCAAATTCAAGTCCACAAATTTCTTGACTACTAGTGATGGAGAAAGTGAAGTCAGTTTTAATTAAACTTCCATGCAAATGTTCCCTCAGAAAATTATGAAAAAAGTACCGATTAGAAATTAATACATAAACTTTCTCATTATTGCATTCTTAACGTTTTTTAGGAACGAAAAATAGTACAACAGAGTTCAGCTGATGGTGAATCCAAAGATGGTAAATTTTGCTCTTTTATAACTGCTTAAGGTAAACTCGCTACTTGACCACTACAATCACGAATAAAAAATCATAATCAAATTTAATGATTCAAAAATGAAATTTCATCTACTATTCAATCAAGCACTAGGGGCCCAAAAATGATTCATGGTGAATCTTGCTTTCTTTATGATTGTAAAATCAAAAACAGCAGAAATGATCGAATTTAGCGAATTTTCGGATTCAAAGTTTAATACAAAATATTAACTGGCTATTATCAAAATAGTAACATTGATGTTGAACAACGATTGAAATACAGTTCAATTCTCATAGAACACTTGACAGAATCTAATTTTTTTGTTAACTTTATACAGTCAGCTGAACAAATTTAGTCAATTTTAGCATTACAAATAAAAACAGCAGGCCATTCATATGTACACAGAGGACGGGAATTGAAGTCCAAAGTAACGTCATTAAAATTATCAACAACATCCTCATCACCACCACCAGTACCCTCGTTTATGAAATCAACAAGAGAAATAATTAGAGGATACCCAGAAGTTGCTACACGTTCAGACCGACGTCGATTCATTTACGTCACCAAACGTCCACGTATTTATTCTTGACTGAAAATATTTCGTCTCAAATTCTAAATAAGAACCAGTTGGTACACGATGCGAGAATACAGTACCTATCAGAGGAAATCCAATCTTGCTCTTCTCCAACGGACTCATAGATATACTTTCGAGTCATTCTTTTCTTATTGCTGTGAACTAAGTTGACTTTATTCAAGTGAAATTCATTGTTTGTATCTAAGAAAATAAATAACATTTAATTTAACTACAATTACTACATCAATTTTGTGGATATACAAAAATTAAAAGCAATCTTTCTGTGCTATAAATTTCCTTTTCTACGTATTACTGCAACTTGCTAATTTTTCAAGTTTGCTATCTCTAATATTTTTTGCAACTAGAAACAAAGATATTCGGGACAACATCTAATATTTCTCATTTCATATCAGTGATTACTTTGATATAACAAAGTTGAGCACATTCCTATTGGTTCATTCTCAAAATTTAATTATTATTGGGAGATAATATAGTGCGGATTGATCCACCTATCAATATTCTATAACTCATTACAACTGTGGCCAGTCAAATATCACGTCTTTCAAATCACACATCCATACTGTCAATTCTTGACTATCCAAGTACTATATATTGACAACTGAAGTGTAATGCTAATAAACCGCCATTTCAGACGTAAATGCAGTCTTAACATTTTATGTTTATTGTAAAAAGCATGATATACCACTTGGATATGCAATATCAATTACAAAAAAATTAGATGCTTCCCTATGGAACAACTCCTACAGCTTTTCAATTCATATAAAAATTTAGACTACGATGTTACAAAAGAACAAACTGAAAGCAAAGAAAGTAGTGAAATTAAACTCACGAACAATGCTAAATTATCCAGGATAATTTTTGTCTTACAATTCAAATCTCTTCTATGCCACTTTTTGCTGAAATCAAATCACGAAAAATTCATCTATATAACCCTTCGTAAATCATTTATTTCTTAAAAAGGATTCCATTGTAGTCAATGATTGATCGACTTTGATAAGCACCCAGAGCAGTTTTCCGCATTTCCGTTGCTCCACAAGATACAAATAAACAAACTAAAACAAACGATAGTGGGGAATGAAATAACCCAAAAGAATCTTAAATGGTTCATTAATGTTGATTGGATTTGCAGAGAATAAAATGCACCGGGAGTAAATCAAACAACAAATAGCAAAACCTCTATGACACTGCTTCAGTAGTAAAAAACAGGAACGAACTTACTAGTAAAGAGACAAATGACAAGTGTTTTGAAAATTAACTGACTAATATCAAATTCTAATGGAGTACAGAGCAAGAAGTCAACAAGTAACCAATTTCAAGGTAAAAAATTCAATTGTAAACCCTTATAACGAAAAGAATAAAATCTACCCAAGGTCATAAGTGCATGAAATAAGATTAGTTAAGAGAGATATGATAATTCGGCCCCATTGTCCTGATGCTGCCGCTCTAACTGCTCACGTGCAAACTGCACATACTGCTCATGCTGTTCTGAAAGTCATAAAGTTTAGGAAAGCTTAATCTAAGGTAATAAACTGTGCTTTTCAATCACTTACATAGCACATCAAATCACATATGTCGAAATTACCTTCTAAACGCTGATTTAGTACTGTTTCATATTCATATCTCAGACGTATTTCTTGTTGCTTTAACAGCCTTTCACATATCATTTTCACCTGAATAAAAGAGAACTTTTGTCAATTATCGCATAAAATTTTAATGGACAGCACAAAAGTCAATGAATTAAATGTACACCTGTTTCAAAGAGAAATGCGGCTTCTCGTACAAGTCCTTCATCTGCGATGTTTTCTGAATATTTACCTCTCCTTCCGATTCGCTACCCGACTGAAATTAGTGTTAACAGAATATTGATTACGTAAATTTCATGGCCCTTTAATATTGGATAAAAAAATGCAGAAGCACATTTACAAAGAACAAAAAAATGCTGACAAAAGACTAGAATGTATAAAACAATAGAAAAGCATATTATAGAACATACATTATTGTTAGGTGACGATGGTGCCTCACGATAATTTCGGTCTGAATCCTTACTAGAAGAAGACGAATCACAAGTAATGTGAGTCCTAAAAAGTTTTAAGGGTCTTTCTTCATTGTGAATGGAGCTTCCATCATCATCAGGTCCCACACGACGTGGAATTAAATGACGACGTTTAAGATAACGTATCTGCAAATGGGTAGTATCACTGGCTCAAGATAGCAATGGCATTTTAAACTTAGCACTTTGATTTCATAATTTAGAAGACTAAAAATTTCTAAATATATATCAAATCTTATGTCAGCATACTTCAGCTCGAAGATAAGAATCTAGCTGTCCAGGTGAGAGCTGTAGTTTACTGCCAACATGAGCAAGTGAAGAACTATTATCCACATCGTTTTCCTGCAGTGACATTAACTGTATAAAATAATAGCAACACTGTACGTAGAAAAAAATATGTACGTATTATAACAATTAAAAAAATATCGATAGTGAGAACAAACAATCATCATTAGTTACTTCTAATCCTTGACGATGAAGAAATGCATTTGCTACACTGGAATTTGGCAACGACGCAGCAATAGTACCCCACTGAGCACGGAACGGGGAGCAATGTGCTTGTGTATGACGTGCACGTTTCACTTCACTTCCCTCAATCAGATAATCATCATAATCATATGGCCTTTTTAAGGCCAGTCCACACGCCATTGATTACTCTCAGCAAAATCGATAAGGATTTATGCACGACCTGCAAAATAGCTAGAAAAGCATCCATTCAAAAAATCACAAATTCTTCTGCACGTAATAATTTACAGGAAACAGTACCTAGACACTAATTTCTTCTGACAAAAATTTTGTAATGCACACACTGCCTTACATGAATAAACATCCAGTAAATATTTAGCAACAATCTACAGTTTTGAAACTAAAAAACTAAGGAAGTTACTAGCAAGATTTTAGGGAAGTTTTATGATTGTTAGCGTCTCTTTGCACTCACTCCTTTCCTTCCTAAACTAAAACAGAAAATGCTATCTCTGTTGGAAAGTAAGATAAAAAAGCCACATGCAAATATTTATTTTGAAAATTTGAACGAGATGAAGGAAAAATTTTTGATGGCTTTGAAAGAGATGAAGAAAAAATAAGGTAGGAGAATAAATGTTCTTTAATAAATCAATTATTACAGTCAACACGCTTCAATTACAATTATTTAGCTCGTTCTCCAGGGATACTTTAATAAGTTGTACATAACATACGTTTTGGATGAAAATCCTACTCCCAGTGCCACGTCACGCACCACTAGATTTAAATCAGACTAGTGCTAAACAATACCAGGATACCCTCTACCTCATCCAACAACTGAAAACCCCAACCCATTACAATAACACCACCACCGACCCACACATACCATGCCGAATGACTGCTACAATCAAGCGTCTATATACTGGGCGTCACTCTATCAACATGATAAAATGTTAAATTACTCTGAGTGGTCTGAATGCAAAAAGTCATCTCATCCGTTCGTTTTCTGTATAAAAGTGTTCGCATGACATTGAAAATTATCTAGCAGTCTATGCAATTAACAAGGAGCAAAGTATTCGTGTATGACATTATTTCTGAACTAGAAGTACACCTTTAAAACATTCTTCATTTAGCGTGATACTTACGTCAATTTTTAAGAAATGATTTTATATAACATGTAATTACTGATGGTTGCTTGCAAAGCTAATTAATATAAATATTATAATCTGTCTAAATTCTTAATAATTATGATTGTTTATAGAGGAAATTAAGCCGATAATGATCAAGATGAGCTGAATTTTGGCTCATATTTTTTCACTCAAAATAGTAACTTACAACACTGAGGAAGAAACAGATATGTACAGTAAAATTGTTTAA